TGGAAGACGATGCAGGTGCTGGGGCATATACTGGTCGAGGTGGTGGTGGAGGTACGTGGTTCATAAACCCAGCCAACTCGAGGCAAATATTGATGTTCAATATAGCGCCAGTCACCCTGTCTGAGGTAACAGTTGAGTTGTTACAGGCCGGGTTTCATCCTACAGAATGTCGCATTTTAAGAGAAAAACTCCGATATCTCGTGACCTCTACGATAAATTCTATTGTAGAAAAATACTCGATACCTGTGCCTCAGTCCCTCGAGGCGTTCATTATTCCTGGTCGGTTGATTTCTTGCTTTGAACCCAATTTTTGACCCAAACCGAGTAGATCCCATTGGCATTTTAGAAGAGGGGGAAGTCTATTATCATTCGTCTGTACCTCTATTGAACCCAGAGAGTCAAACGTTTTTCCACGTTGTGTCTGGAGAGCTCCTTGTACGTGGCCATTTTATCCAATCTCTTATCTCTATCTTACCTACCTTGAATAGGTTGGCAGGTATGATAGTTGCAGATACTTGACCTCGACGTGTACTCATTCCTTGAAGGCATCCAGTTCGCCTTGCATCCGATATTCAAAAGGTGTGTTACTTTGTATTGTAGTTTCATCCGCTTTAATCCTATTTTGACTGTCAAACAGGTGACAGCGGTGGATCGACCTGAACTCTTTGCCTGGGTCGATGTTCTCATTGTCTCTACCAAAGGGAGAAAAAGCTTTGCGAGCAAGCTTTCAGGTGGAGGTAAGCCAAATTGTCAACCCGTAGAATGAGTATTTTTGACCCATGTCAACTAGACCAAGACGGAGGTAAATAACTCCTCGACGATATATGTATCGTCCGCTGAGTAGATGACTTCAGATACTCTTTTCATCCTACGTGAACGCGAGCTGGTAGTGCCCTTCGTCAATAAACCGGTGAAGCCTGTTCCTTCCACCGTCATGTCTGAAGCGTTCGAAAAACAACCGGAGCGTGTCAGCGCATTTGCCAAACGGGTATCAGTCATGGATCCCCGAGCTGCACAGGCAGCCTTTGTGGACATTCTCATGGGAAGTCTCGATGATACAAAAATGGGCTTGTACTCAAGTTATCAAGACTACGCTATCTATGAGTATGGCTATGAGGACCCTCGAGCTGAACGTCTTGCCTATCTGTGAGGGTATTGTTTCCTTTTGTCATCGATGCTAAATCATCCTTCCAGCTTTAATGCGATCTTGGACTCATCAAAGACTGGCGACCGCCTCAAGAAAAATATATTTGAAAAAGATCGAAAATTATATGGAAAGACAATACCGACTTTCGAGGAGGCAGTCAGGAACACGGCCTATATCTTCCACACCTTACAACGTTTTGGGCAGGCTGCGTCTCGTGACCTTCTGTCCGAATACAATAGACTTCTAGGTGACAATAATGCCGATAATGCGGACCAGGACCTCTTGAGGCCTTACAACCTGGCAGCTTCCAGAGCAGAACAGACAAACCTGGATATTTCACTCCGCCAGATATTACAAGCAGAGCTCAAACAAATTCGTGATTTTGTCGACGCCGTTTATCTCGATTACACGACCATGATGTCTCGACTTCGAAAAGACACAGAGTCAAGCAAGAAACCCGCGTCCAAGTCAAAGGAGCATGGAAAGGCCGATGCTCTCAAGGCCCCGATCCACGAACTTTATAACCGTCCAGTCAAGGATGTCATTTTCTTACAAAATGTCGAGGAGCTCAAGGCATCCTATGCCTATCAGTACAAACCGTGGTTCGCGTTCGAGGTCGCTTTCTCCACACTATGCACCCTGAAAGCTAAAGCGTCTTCAAGTGGACTTGCTCCAATTACGCGCTCCTTTGACGAAGCAAAGTCGATTCCTTCTGTATATGTGCGGGCGGTAGCCAGACTTTCCGACTCTGATTCTTAGTTCTGTCGAAGCAGCTGGAGGGCTTTTTCTTGGCATCACACCTATACTTTTTTGGACTCCTCTAAATACATTTCTATTCTAATATTCTCTGGGTTAACTGCTGGTTCATGGGTTGTTTCGATCTGCCTCAACTTCAAGATTCAAGACACAATGTTTGGCATCCACCAACGACGAACGTTGAAAAATAGACAAGCCTATCGACATCGCGACTGGAATTCACTAAGACTTGTTGATATATGCGTCACTGCACCGTGAATAAACGGCTCCGCATTGAAGAAGGCAATGCCCGCAGATACCTGGATGCCAAGACTACAAGACCCACTTGGACTCTGGCTATGCTTAACACTTGTACATACTCCAGATAGACGATGCAACTCTGGCTGGACTAGCAACTGCGTCTCTGTCTCTAAAGTTGGAGATAAAAATTAGATACGAATTTTCTCGACACATCATCGGTTACTGGCTACCCTTCAGGCGTATGTTCTCCATCCTTTCCCTATCACATTGACGAAAGGCCTCGAGATTCAAATGGAATCAGCAGTGGGACAAACCCCGCAACAACAAAGATCGTGCCCGCGATAAAGATGGGAACGGATGTTCTGAGGTCCGTGTACAACGCAATGACTGATGACTGCACAGAGGACAATTAACGCAGCTCAATATCTCGATGGCTTCCTTGATGAAAAGAAGGAACCAACAAACATACCAAAATCTTGAATGCGTTGTGAGTGGCTTCAGCAATAGCAGTACCAGTCCCGCGATCCTTTGTAGGCAGGAGTTCGGGCGTTATGGCAAAGAGTGTGCCGTACATGACAGGCATCGTTATACTGTATGCACAGTTCCATCCAAGCAAAGCATTCGATGTCCGGGCCGTCGTAGATAACAAGATAAATACACCAGTGAGTGCTATATCGCTTTTTCGGTTACTTTTGATAGACATGCGATATTCTCGAACGACCTACATGTGGATAGAGCAAGAGTTCGGCGTCGACCAAAGAATGGAAGCTCGATCATGTATCCTGCTATGAACGAAGCGGGTATCGAAACGACATTCAGGATTACTTGCTGTTACGTATCGATCAATATACGGGAAACGGAAGTTCAGTGACGGTACTTACATTGCGATAGGCAATGCGTAAAGAACCATCCCCAAAATCGGCGCCTCGTGTGACGAGACTGTATTTACATAGTTAAATTATGCAGCGCCGAGAAATTTGAGGAACTTACTAGTAAACAATGAAGGAGCTATATCTTCAAAGGAGACTAGTTAGACGAAGAAGTCCATACGTCTGATCTTGGATTGCTACGTACAGGGGATATGCCAGGCCGATTAAACCTACAGAAAGGGTGGACAAGATGCGGGGAGAAATACAGCAAGAAAGCGTACCCCATGTAATGATCAGTAAAGTCATCAAATAAGCCAGCTTTTTAGTGCCAAAGAGACTCTTGACGTGCTCCGCATCGAATCTTGCTACCAAGTTACCATCGCGTCTATTCTGCAGGTTCCCGGCCTTCAATAAGTCGTCCAATGTCAATCTACTCGAAACGCCGTTGTACTTCGCCACCTGATGAATGACCCTCACCGCGGCTTCGTCGTGCCCGCGGCCCATCAGGAATTTCGGGCTGTCGTTCATTGGGAAGGCGAAAAACTGAATTGTCCAGAGAAAGAGTAACAGTCCACCCATTGTGAACTGAAAATATCTCCAACCCTCGTTCGAGTTTCGAGGACACTTCTCTAGAGAAACAACCAAGGCACATGAGAAGTGACCGATCAAGAGCCATGCGCACTTGAGTCAGCTCTCAGCATACATGAAAAAAAAAACAATGTTCCAGAGGCTTACAATACTTCCCACTAGCTGTCCGACCCCCCACCATATAGGAACAACTGCTAGTAGATACTGGTGCGATGCTGGGACAAATTCTGCCGACGAATAGATTAATTACAGCACATGCAGAACGACTGTGCCGGGGCCAACTCACCGAGCAACATAGCAGTGCCAGCGGCTCGAGTACCGCCAATTCCAGTAGACCACACAGTTACGAATAAGCAGAGAGTGATTAAACTTGGCGAACTTCCAGCCACAAGTACAAAGATAGCAGTGATGATTAACGAGACGGTGAAAGTGATTCTACAGAATGCTTGTCAGCGAGGTCGTAGGTAACTGTAGATCAAAATACGATGCTTACTTGCGTCCCCAGAAGTCAGAGCCTATACCCCAAAAAACTGTCCCGACAAAAAACCCTATGCTCTCACCTAGACTTGGCCACGGTTTAAGAAAACCGAACTCATTCATAACGGGCGTCAAGATGAGTCCTGTTCCAATCTGAGTGCTAAAATTAAGCAAGGCCCCTGTGTAAATATCACTTAGGAGGCGATTCACCATGCCAGGTAGCTTTCCAATGCCGACAATAATGAACAGATACCTGGTTGTTTCGCGTAAGTAACTGGTCGACAACCATGCCAATGTGCTTACCATTGGTATCTTCCCATACCAATCTTCTGAATTGCATCATTTAAAATCTTCGTTTTTGCCTCGTAAACGGGATTCGTGTTGAAGATATTGATCATTTGCGGCCCAGGGGCATTGGGTTCACGGGTGGTAATGTTATCTTCTTTCGAGATTTGTGTCTCCTTCTCACTTTCTCCATTGACCATGATGGGCATAGCAACAAGGCTGAGGAAGATTGTATCAGGCCATGCCTAGAGCCCCAGCGTCTTTTTAAGCAGGAATCGTCGGATGCGACGTGCTTCCCCGAAAAGAAAGTTCGACCTAGAATCGCGTTTCAGAGTAATTGTGAAGCCTCGTCAATTGTAGGTACTAATAAGCTGTCGATTCGCGGGTAAAGTTGCTCGATGGCATCAGCAACCACGCGGCGCTGAGTTTCGTGGAATCGTGGCGGTCCAGGTGTTCAAACTTTCGAGGCTTGAGATAAGCCTAATGTGGCATTTGTGGACGAAATTGTTGTTCATTATTATTGGGAAAACAAACTCCTGTCTAGATAATGCGACTGGCGATTATGATGTGGGTACGTATTACATGAATGTCGATTTGCGCTTGTGCTATAGATACAAAAATTTCAGCAACCAATGAACTGATGAGAGGGAGATTCGAACTCCCGCCCCCGAAGAGACCAGATGAAGTCAAAGCCTTAGTCTGGCGCCTTGGACCGCTCGGCCATCTCACCATGAAGACAATTGCAAGTCCAGCGCTCAGCGCCCAGGGGCTAGCCGGCTAGCCTTTAGCTGGCAGACTACGCTGGTAATACAATAGCTGAAGGAATGATTTGTTATACGATCCACTCTGGAAGTTAAGGCTGGACTGACATGCCTCCAGACTGATTTTGGATTTCTGACAAGCCCCAATGATATAGGCTGTATTCCCGACATTTGCAAAAAGCGACCAAAAACTCACCAGTTGAAGTTGTCGAGTGTCCACACCCCAAACAACTCATCCTTCTGGTGTCGTCAATTTCGACCAACCACTTCTTCTGTCTTCTTCTGTATCCTCCTTCAGACAAATCTGCACGATTGGCGTAAGTCAAACATCAGCACAAACACCAGCAGGAGCACTCTTTGACAGCTCTGAAGAATTTGCGCTGTGAAAACTTACAGCCTGTTTCCGGTGTATATTTTGAGTGGCCACGGGGCGGTAGACGACCTTCGCACATAGTTTTGGAGCGCCTGGACAAGACAAAAGCGACATAGCTGGATGTAAGACGATGATCCATTGAACTGTAGCCAAATGCACTAGCGAGCGCAGGGTAAAAGTAGAATATCAAAGCATGATAGACATTAGAGCACGCTCAGAGCCACAGGGAACGGAACAAGACATGACAATGAGCAAAGAGAGTGGCCGTGAGAAAGATCGAAATTTATTTGGATATTCACATTTTGATATGAACAAGCTCTGCATTTGAACCTGGCCACCGACGTCGCTAACCCGATTACTGGCGACTAACTTTCCTCATTCATCTCTTACCCCAGTCTTGACGACTATGCAGATTTCTAATGACTCTGAGCAGGATGTTTCCTCACCAGACATTGACAATTTATCTGTGACAGACGCGTTGACGCCTTCTACGCATTCTGGCGCGACTTCTCCATCCATCGAGCTCGAGGAAGATCCCATGTTGACGTCTCAGAAGAAAAAGAAGAAGAAGAAACCCAAGAAATCCGCGAAAGCAAAGGAGGCCGCTGCTGCTGCTCAAGCTAAAGCTCAGCAAGAATCAGAAGGACGGGCACCTGTTCTGTGCATCAGTCGCAATAAACACTGGCGCTACATCAGCTCCTACCATGTGCGTACCTGCTGAGCTAAAACATGGGATATGTATTAAATATCACGCTCGCACAGGGCCCTTGGTTACAACTGCCTCTCGAGTTGCTTGATTCCCTTCTCGTTTTAAATCTCGATCCAACGGGTTTTCCTGCTGCAACAGACCAGGTCCGACATCCTGCTGCCTCTGCTTCTCTCAATATCCCAGCAAGTCTCAATATCCCAGCAAGTAAGCATTCCAATTCGAGCAACTATACGCCACCAGAATCACCCCGAGGGCAGCACACCTCCCTCTCCTCATCATTATCCTTGCCATCACGTCTAGGGAAAGCCACACCGCCCCCAATAGACCCCGGTGTATTTAAATCTGCTACTACTATTCGACGCCTAATAGACGAAGCTGCGGAACTTTCGGTCCGTGCAGCGTCAGGATTATCGGCAGCTGAACTAGCTTCATCCAGAAGCAGTTCCAATCCCAAAAGTCCTTGGACGACGGCGTCTGCTCTTGGTATGAATCCCCTGGGAGGAGGAGGAGGACGCAATGTGGCCATGTCCGCGATGCGTATACATCACTTAAGGGCTTTAGCGGTGCAAAAACTTGCGCAAGCGTATCAAGCGGACGAGATTGCTTCTAGTGTGATGGTCATGCAGGGTGGTAGTGTATTTGACGACGTAGCGGAACGCGTCTTGAAACACGGTATGTTCAATTCAAGGCCCATCCCAACAATCAGCTGATCTCAATGGTACATGGCAGATCCAGCTGACCTGGATGCCAAATACGTGCATTTCTTCCACGAAAAGATACCCTCTCGGTAGGGCTTTCTAGTTTTCTCCATCAGCGAAGCTAATCAATGCTTTTAGGCAACTTGCAGAGTCGACGAGCACCAAGGTTCTTGATGAGCTTATATCTGCCCGACCACAACATCTGGAATATCATCGTACCCGTGGCATAGTTCATTGTTTCCGCGACGAATACCCCCAAGCCACGAAAGATTTCACCTACGCTCTCAAAGAAGCCCGTGCAGTGCGCAAAGCTAAAACGATGCACCATAAGCTCAGCCAACTCGGTGACTCTCGCTTGACCAAGAATGGGAAGCGTAAAAAGTCTACTGCGACCTCTCATACCAACGGCCAGGCGCCACCAAATGGGACCAGCGTGCTAGGAGCCGAAAACGAAGGTGCGGATGGGGAGCTGGTGCCGTTGCACCCGTCTATTCTTCCCGACGCACCGGAGCCCATTGAGTTGCAGCTTCTCTTTCTTCGAGGAGCGGCATACCTACAACATGCCATCTTTCTTATTGAAGCAGCAGTGCTGCAGTTAGAAGGAGTGCAGAAGACCCAGGCTGTGGATGGTGCTGAGTTGAGGTTGTGTTATATCGATCACGGAAAGTATGGAGGGGTGGAGATTGGAAATCCTGATGGACCGCTGGGGAAGAACAATGGGGTGAAAGTGGCGGCGTACCGAGAAGTGTTAGCCCCCGAGGCATTCAGGGAACAAATCACGACGCTCATCAGGAGGAGCATTCGCGACCACGAGAAGTTCCTTTCGCATTTCGACTCAATCGAATCACCCAATGCCTTGCACAGCGGAGACATAGCTCATCAAATGGAGTACGCCTTCCTCCTCGCCGAATCTACACGGTCCAATGGACATAACAATTCAACTGCGAACGGCAACACGCCCACCCTCCCTTCGTCCGAAGCTCCCGCAATCTTCACGACGTACCACCCGCTCATCGTAGAATCCCACTACAGCGTTCTCATCGGTCAACTCATGCTTGCCGACTTCATTAACCTCCTCCCAACCTTCGCGCGGACCTCCACACTCGTAGATGGGCTCGATGGCTGTCCTATTTTCCTCCCGGCGCGCTCGATGGGGCAGGCTGAGTTCATGCAGCTCCTCGAGCGTCTCGCGGGTAGTTGGAGTCATGGGACGAAGCCGCATTCGCTCGCACTCGCCGGGATACGTGGTAAAGCGAAGCTTGCGATCAAGGCGCCGCCGCCGCCGCCGCCATTGATATCCCCTGCTACATCGCAGGCCTCGACCTCAGTCTATGAAGAAGCTTGTTCATCTTCCGCTGCATCTGCATCTACGTCTACGTCTATGTCTTCCTCGCACGGGGCCAACAGGAATGGCGTGAATGGCGACACGAGCTCAGGTTCAGCGTTACCTCCTCCTCCCGATAGCGCAAGCAGCACTATCATCCCCTGGGGACCGCCACCAGCGCACGTAGACGGTGCGACGAGCCTGGACTGTGCGCGGATCTTGTTGGCCCCCGTTGCGAAACGGCAGCGACTGAGGGCAGAGAGGGCCGCAGCGGACAAGAACAAAGTTAATGGGACCGCGAAGAAGCCGTCGACGCCGCTGACGATTCCGCTCTATGGACCGAGGGTGGAGATCGTTTTGGCGTGGTTGGGCGCTGTGCATTTGCCTGAGTTGGATGGGTTTGTGTGAGGTGGACGTTGTCGAAGGGTTGGTGTATCATGAGATGCAGCTGAACGAACGAGCGGTGTGTTATTAAATTTATTACCTTTTGAGATGGATGTACTTAACGTAGCTGACTATTGACTGAACCTACGATGTTCACTAGCTTCTAATATGAAGTGTTGAATGTGTTCGATCTTTTTCTCTTGCATCGGCTGTTCGGCGCGGATACCGATCCGAAAAGTCCTCAACCGTGCGTCAACCCCGTGGGCTGAACAAAATGCAAAAACCTACCCATTGACCTTGTATCGTCACCAATGGCTAGTACAAGGTGCTTAGCGGCATTCCAAGATATATGTATATCTGGAATATTTGAGGGGCAGAAACCTGTAGGCCCCTCTTATGCCTTGCACCCCCGGCTTATCCGAAAAAAAAAAACAAGTAGGATGCGGGGGTGGTGGTGCTTAGCGGCATTGGACAACTCAAAATTAAAAAATTAAAAAACACTGTGGGATCAAAGAGTCCCAGGAGTTGTCTAATAGTGAGGTCCTCGGGCGAAACCAGTAGCTAGAGACCTCGCTGCCATTTTATTTTAATTATTTTATTGCCTCAAACGCCCAAGGTAGTATCTCAATTGACCATGTTCCTGTCGTCGATAAGTCATATATTCCATCCACAATGATAAGCACTTAGATCTAAACATCTATGCGAGAGCGCGTGCTCTAGGATATATACACTCCATCGCAGGCCCAATGCCTGTCCCAGTCTCTAGAGTTCGCATCGGGTCCATGCAATCTAGAACTTGAAGACTTGGTCCTCGGTGTATCCGAGTTCCTTGAGAATACCACCAAGCTCGCCCTGCTTCATACCAGCCTTTTTGCCCGCAACAGCTGCGACTTGTCCAGGGGGACCTAAACCATTCAACATGAATTCGAAATTCGAGGAACACAAAAACATAAAGCTAAAACGCACCGCAAACGAAGACCTTGACTTTCTCGCCCAGCTCAGCTGGCGCGACGTGCTTCTTGACGATATCCTTGGTGATGAACCCACTGGGGCCAGTCCAGTTGGGTCCGGGCTTGTCGAGGAGGTACACGATCTCGAGGGTGTCGGGGTGCTGTTTCGCGAGAGCGTCGAGGTCTTCGCGGAGGAGGATGTCAGCTTCGGTGACGTTGGAGAAGAGGAGCTTGAATTTGGTGTGGTTGGATTTGTCCGCGAGGGCGTGGGTGAGGACTTGGTAGAAGGGGGTGCTGATGATTTGGGTTGGCGTTGGTATAATGTGGTGGGAAAATAAAGTATGGAGGTAACTTACATTCCACTTCCTCCACCGATCATGGCAACCTGTTCAAATTCATTGGCTGGGTGGAACGTAAGTCGGAAAGCGTGGTTCTTGATAATAAATAGAACGAACCCTTGTAAGGGAACTTGGTAATGGGACCCTTGAACGACAAGCTATCGCCTTCCTATTTGACAAGATACTTTAGAAC